TCGCCAAACAGATGAGCAGGAATCGACCAGTTTTGGAGCTTGACAAGGAAACCAAGGCTCGTAGGATGTTAAGATGAGGCTTTTCGTGTACCCGGTGCGTGGTCGTTGAGCCCATAATTTCTACATGTCATCACGAGGACAGAAGTGAATTTCACATTTTAATAGCGAATCTGCTGCTGAAGCAAACTGTCGACCCTGTTGCTTATATTTGGTCCACTCTTTCGGAGGCACTTGGAATTCAATCTCATCTTGAAGTCTACTCACCGGATCTGGGATGACTAAAGCTGATATTCTTAATTCTGATACAAGTTACGAATCCATCGGATTGCGAAGAGGTTTTCTACTCATCTTTGTTAAGCCAACTGAAAGGTACACCAACCCCTCTCCAGTTAGGAAGTCTTGAAGTCCCAACTTCTCTGCATACCTTAGAATCACAGGCTCAATCGGCATATCTTGTATGTGGAAAATCTTTGCTGTGCCCAACTAGGCTGGCCTATGAAGGCTAAGCTACTTCCCTGTGAACTGGTAGAAAGCCAGATGGGGGCAGCCGGCAACTTTGTGGTTTGGCCGAGACAAGCCGGCCAACTAGGAGTGGGTAGCCTGTGTCCCATTGGCGGAGAGAGGGGACAGCAGACTGGGGCTACAAGGTGGGCTGAGGTGGATTAGGAAACACGAAGCCGATCTCGTCAATATCAAGTCTCAAAACTCCAAACGATCAGCTCCAAAGACGGCCAATGAAAAAAAGTTGCCCACTCCGAAGGGTGTACATCGTAAAACGACTGATCGGGCTCTCAACGATTCAGCCGATGGTGGCTTCTTCCTGCTGCCCATGCCGACCTCGAATCCAAGCACTATCGAGGCTACTCAAGGTCCAGCAAAACGCCTGCTTTGTCCCGACAGCAACTTATTGATTCGGCCCAAGTGAAGAAGAGGCTGACCGCTGTTTCGCTATAAAATGACGAGCCCCCGACTGGCTTTCCCTCAGGCCATGGCAATAACCTCGAGACTGGAATGCACTGTTTGGCATTGACTCGGTTACCTCTCGACCGCCAACAGGAGTACAGAATTTGGTGTCCTGGTTGGCCTACAAGTGTGGCTATACAATCCGGCCTCGTAGGTCCTGCCAGCCGGTCGGAAAGACAAGAGGAAATGTTGAAAACTAGGAGGGTCATCTGCAGCCTGATTGCTCTCGAGGCTGATACGTTGGGGGTTGGACCTTGAGGAGATGAGCATTTTGATGCAAGCAACAGGCCTAGAAGCTGTCGTCGTGGCCTACTCGCTCATGCCACGGTTGTCGGCCGATTAGCGCCATGTGGAGACCGACTTTCAGGCAGGGCCCATGAAGATGAGCCTGAAGCCTCGTCGAAGTCGTCTCGAAGTGCTTCATCTTGTCAGAAATGGAGTGACATTGCTTGGTCGCAACTTGACCCTTGTGAGAAGTAGGCCTAGAGACCAACAATATTTACGGTATCAGAATTTAGTCAGTCTTAACTGCTCAAGACAGTGTGAGGACTGACAGTGCAGCTCCTCACACAATCAGGCCAGTCAAGTTCGCTTGCTCCGGTCTCACAGACGGTGGATTCAGTCATTCGACCTCATCCAAGTCTCGTCTTCACCTCCAACGGGACTCGTAACAGGATCGTGCTGAGACGTGATGCCGCGCAGTGACACATGTTGGGTCTGCAGATGCCACCGGACGAGGTCGAATATGTAGTCCATTTAGAATGAGGCCAAGGGAACTTAAATAGCCTCCTCAG